TTACTTCGAATGAATTGTTTTTTGTTGCTCCTTGCTCCCAACATGTCTCAATGTTCAGGCTCCCCGCGAGATGCCCCAAGTTGTGTCTTTAGAAGAATGCTCATATTCAAATGAACAACTCAATGCCTTGGGTTTTAATGGTAAGAAAATGTTAGTTTTGAGTCTAAAAGGACAATGATGTGATCTTATTGACTCAAAGAAAGGTACAGGTGTATCAAAAAGATAAATGCAATGTTCAAGAATTTCAAAGGGAGGTAATGTCAAAATTTGGTTTTTTGGTAATGGTCATAGTTCTTTTGGGTAAAAAAAATCGAGGTATTTTATTTTGGGGTTTGAGATAGGGTAAGAAAGGTCTAATCTTGCCATATGTCAAAAATCTATAATTCTTGAAGAATTAAAAGAATCCTTAATTCATTTAATATTCGAAGAACTAAAGATTAAAATTTATTCAATTGCTCCACTTTAGAAAGTAGCATAAATTCAATCCTTTAAAAGATTAAGTAAACATGAAAGATCAAAGACGTTTCAAACAAAACAATCCTCTAAGTGCAAATGGTATATGCCATGCCCCTTCGACAAGTGCCTTACAGTTTTTAGAGGAATGTTTGGGGTTTCTTATGTGGTAACAGCTAACAACTTCAACATCGTAGCCCTTAGGATATGGAGATTCTTTAGATCTTCATGGCAGGCTTTGTCCTACAATCAGCTGATCAGGCTCCTACTGTATTGTTTTCAGTTTTTTTCTTTAAGGTTACAATCTTGCTTCCATGTGGTTAAATCCACTTCATCGAATCATCTAGGAAGAAATTTCATGTTTATGAAAATGCTTAAAAATGTAGATGAAGATGAAAAAAATGCAAGAATGCATGAAATGTTCGAGGCATTGATCCAAGAAATGTGCCTGTTATTATGAATAATCCTTATTGGGGACAAAAATGTTTTATCTTTTAAGAGACAAAAATATCCTAACAGCTTCTGACATGTTGACTAGTCTTCTGCTTTCATCTTTCACCGGTTGAATAACCTGTCGAACCGCTCTGGCCTCTCTGGATGAACCGTGAAAATGTTGAGTTATTTTTCGTATTGGTCCAAGAAGTCTCGAATGATCGCATCTCGAGCACCTACTTTTGTTGAGCCTGTTCCCAACGAATTCTTCATTGGAGCCCTTAATTGATAGGAACTATGTGAAGTTCATTAATCTGTTTCTTGAATTCGCCAGCAATGGTCTCTAATTTCAGCTATCATTTTGCCATTGTCGTGTTCAAAGGGACTTCCAAGATACATAACCTTCATCCTGCCCCTGCAACCTCTGCCAGTCAGTTCTTGAAAGATAAGCTTTCATTGTGCTTGATATAGACCCGTTCATTCTGAGTCCTTTATAATGCAGCAGAGTGATATACTCTTTAATTGTGGGCACCACGTCTTCTGGATTGAATGTGACACATAGTCGCCTTGTAGACTATCCTTTGTATTTTCATCTCTTGTATTACAACACACCTTTGTTCATGGATTCAGATTATTCGAGTTTTAACAAACACGTTTTAGTGGATCAATACCTCTTTTAAATGATGCAAGTGATGAAAATAAAAGAAAAGAAAAGAAAGATGAAAAGAGTTAGTGAGGTGAAAAATAATAAAAAACGATCATGAAAAATGAAAAATCCTACCCCACATGATATCTACCCCACATGCTTATTATTCCTACCCGGACATGATCTCTATCCCGCATGTTAATCTCAAACAAATCCTAATCGCATAATTGTCTAGTTCGCATGCTTTGAACAGAAAGTAAGGCAGGAAATAAAATCAAAGCAGTCTAAGGTTTGGAATGTGGTTTTGGGGTGGGCTCTAATTCTCCATCATCTCCCGGTTTAGGTTCTAAAAAAACGGTACCCGAGTTCTCCTTGTTGGTGCCCCCTTGGGCTTACCAGACCCTTAGTCCTAAACCCATCACAAGCTTGTATGGACTAAGTTAAACTCGAGAGGAAACATTCCCTTATGCCCACACGGAGAATAAATTCACACGAAGGCATAAGGTATATGTATCCCGAAGGCTACTTGCTAGGCCCACACGGTGAATAAATTCACACGAAGGTGTCGCTTTCACCCCCACTTAAAAGGGTTCGGAGCTCGGGTATAGAGCCTTTGGATGAAAAAGTTTGGAAAGCTGAAATCATTAAAAAACGGTCAGTCCAACTATTTACTCGAAAAAAATATAACCAGAAGTAAGTAATAAGGATCGAAATGTTGCCTTAAAATTCAAACTTACCCTTTTCGTTAAAAAGACAACTGGAAATTACCTTAGCCTGACTCGCTTACCTGCGTCCCCAGCAGAGTCGCCAAGCTGTCGCAACCGTCTTTCGGTTGGGCCCCCGGAATTGGGCTTCGACTTAGGTAAATGGATTAGAGTCGCCACCGATCATTTATTTAAAACAAATGGGTTGATCGGATACCCTATTTCTTACCTGATCTGCGTCTTACCAGAAATATGTCGGGCTCGGGAATCGGTTACGGTCAAGGAAGGATTAGCACCCTTGAACCGCCCTTTCGGTACTACGTAATTTTCAGTTGTCTTAATTAAGAAAATTGTAATTTTAAATTAAAAGGTAAAAATAACGATCCAAAACTTACATATGTTCGATTGAAAATGTACCCTTAAAGAGTTGAGAAACATGTTAGATATAAAAAATAAAATAAAATAAATAAAATAAATAAATAAATTCAACCAAAATAAAAAGAAATAAAATAAATTAAAATAATAAATAAATAAATTCAACCAAAATAAAAAGAAATAAAATAAAATAAAATAATAAATAAATAAATAAAGCATAGAAAAATGATAGTAAATAATAGTATAAATATAAAATAAAAAGGTAATATATATAAATAAATAAAATACACATAAAGAAAATAAAACAATAAATATAATATATATAATAATGATAAAAGGTAATATACGTAAATAGATGTTAGAATGAAACACTAAAATACATATATGTAGTTATATGTACATAATATATATATACGAATAAAAAAGAAGAGGAGGAAACAAATAATAATATATAAAAAATATATAGATATAATTGTTAGTGAAAATAATAACAAATAAAATATAGTATAATAGGTAAAAAATGCGAAATCAAGAAAAAGAATTAAAACATGAAGGGATTAAATTGGAACAAAAAAAATCAGGGGTCAAATTTCGAAGTAATTGGGGGAATATTAAATATTTAAAAAAATGAATATGCCTCGGGAGTAGATCTAGGTTCGAAACTTCGAAACCCCACCCCTTTTTGGTCATCGGCGCAACCCACGTTTTAGGTTATTCGAACCAAATCTCAAGAAAAATAACGTGCACATGCAAAAAAAAAGATAAAAAAAAGATGTTACCTTTTATTTCATTTTTGAATCGTTTACAATAGCTTTGCCTTTATATTTTTCGTGTTTTCCTCTGTGTTTTGTGCGTAAATCCTCTCTTACAATGGTGAGTTACAATAGCTATTTATAGTGCTTGTGGATCCTATCTTTAGGAATTTAAATCTTAGTAGAACTCTATCCTATTTTTAGGAGTTTGAATCCTAGCAAAATGTTATCCTATTTTTATGAGTTTGAATCCTAAAATTCTATCATATTTTTAGGAGTTTAAATCGTAGTAGGACGAAAAATGTGTGTTGACACTTTTAAAACCAAATGGTTTGAATTTATGAATCTCTTGACTTTTAGATTGTCACAATTTATGTATTACCATGGTCAAATAAAGTTAGAAAAGGAGGAACAAATTACCACACAATATGATTAACTAAAATCACGAAAACCAGCAGGTGCAATTCAAAATGTTGGGTCATGCACAGTTGGGATGTGGTCCAAAACTCCCTCAACCCAATCCTCATCCAATCTACTTGTCTTATTTTTACTACCAAACTCCCAATTTCAATTTACTTCTTTAAAAGTATTAAAACTTATATTATTTTATATTCACTTTAATTTTAATAAAAATTGGATAAATTAAAAATTGTATCAGAAGGATAAACTATATCAGCATATATAACCAGTGAACTTTCCAACTACACTCAAATGTCGATGTTGATTTTACATTTTTTTTATATAATATTTTTTCAAATATCACAAAATCTACTTTCGCAAAGATGATTTTGGATCTGTCCCTATTTTTTTTCAAATTAAAAGAAAAAATATGGATAAACTGAAATTATTATTGGCATTTAATCATAAAAATTGTTGCAAAGACAGACACACGTGAGTAAGCACGTGAATACTTTCCTCCAGTATCGCTGCATGCATGGATGGTAGCACATCATTTTCAGATTTGTCAAAGGTCAACTACTGGTCTCGTAATACCCTTCCTGATCTCTCCCTTTACCATAATTAGGGTAAATCATAAACTTCATCATTTAACTATCTCCTAACTTTTATTCTACTCACCTAGATTTATTCATTTTCAATTTAATCATTAAAATTTTTTATTTATTCCTATTTTAATTGCTCTATGGTAATATAGATTATTTTATTATTATTCTTAATATAACACACCAAATTTATTATTTTTTAATAATAAATAAATTTTAAAATAAAAAATAACCAAAATCTATAATTTCAATCTCTAAATCCCAACTCTAACTCTTATCCAACCCCTTCTAATCCTATTTTAATCACTCTATAATAATATGAATTATTTTATTATTATTTTCTTGTTATCAGGTGCACAGAACACCCTGGTGTAATCACAAACACAATATCCAACCTAATCACCGATGAAATTAGGAATGAGTTTAAAGTTTAGTGACTTAATTGAAAATATTTAAATTTTAATGATTAAAATATGAGTAGAAGGATAGTCGAGTGATGAGAGGGTATAATTTATCACGGTAATTATTATCAACAACTTTTACGTGCATTTAATTCACCAATTCAAAAAACCCATTAAAATATTCCAGCTTTAAGATTCAAAAACTGAAACACCAACAAACAAGAAGGAGGAGGAGATGAAGCTTCTCTCTCCTTTTAAAATCTTTAACCCTAGAGATCTTCACCAGCCTTAAGAACTTGCCTCTCACTTTCTTGTTCCTTCCACTTGTTTTTTCCTTTAAATCTCTCTCTCAGTCAATTTTCCTTTTCTGTGTTCCTTTGTTGTACTAAAAGCTGCTGTTCTTTCTGCTAAAGTCTTTAAGAACTGATCGCCATCTTATCTCCTTCAGGTAATCCACCATTGCATACAGCCGTAAACATGGCTTTGATTAGTTTTCCCACTGATCATATTAAGCTTAGGAAAACGATTTCGTTCGAGAAGAAACCGGTACTGATGCTCAAGATTACCTGCTGAGAGACGATCTGAGTTCCTGCTCTTCCAATAGTTTCAAATCGTTTCCACGACAACGTTGTTGCACCACCGTGAGGTTTCTTCTCGAGACCGAGTTGAAGAAATCCAAAGACAATTACTCAACCACAACTAAACGGCTTCTCAAAAGAAGCAGTAAGAGGCCAGGTGGTACCACCGTTTCAGCTCTTCAGAGAGCTTCGGAGGCCCTTCTGAACGCTGTCAAGCTACTGCCTTTTCCTTCTATGAAGTCATCCTCGCCGCCGTCGTTGAAAAGGAACAGTTCGAGGAAAGTACATTTTGCCAGGAGTTTTTCAAGGAAGATCTTTAAAAGAAGCTTTCGGAGAAAAGCCGACAACGAAGATATCGGTGGCGGCGGTGGTGGTGGTGAGGTCAGACAGTGCAAGTTGTTCCGTGAATTTCTTGAAGAGAAAAATGAAGCGTCTGATGAGAATACAATCAGAAACGTAAACACCAACACCGACACCTCCATGACTACCGGTAGGGTGTCCTCCAACACGAGCAGTAACAGCTGGGGTGAAACTGAATTTACCGCGGATGTCTTACAGTCGTCTTGGAGCGGTAATTCGGAGAGCTCGAGTGAGGACGACGTCGTTGAGGGAGAAACAAGTTTTCCCCCAAAGGAAAAGGCCAGCAATGCTGTAGGCGTAACAGTGTGTGAGGAATCCATCTACTTCACAAAGGTAAAAACGGTAGGTGCTTCAATAACTTTTTAATTGGATATTTTTGTCTGTCGTGGGCCCTATCTAATTGGTTGATGTCTCTTTACTACAGTATACATATTGTTTTTTTAATAATAAAATTCGACCGCTGATTTTGTAATTTGAGTATTTATCGGGAAATGATAGGTACACATCTCGAAGCTATGGAATTATATATATTTTTTAAAAAATATATTATTAAAATCATCCAGTAGATTCAAACAACATAAAAAATAAAAATAATATTAAGAGATATATGTTAAATTATAGAATTTGAATGATTCGAAAAATAATATGATAATATCTTTCAACTATCATTACATAGTTTGGAATAATAGAGAGGGGTAGTTGTTGGTGGGTGGTTTTAATTGAAATATTTAGTTTGAGTTTGGAGTTAGGTTAGCTAAAAGGGATATGTATCATTTTGTTTAAGAATGAATACATAATGTAAAGTGATATCGGTCCTTTAATGTTGTGTTAGGAAACATTAATATAATGGGTAGGAAATTAGGGAGTTGACCCAACCCTAATTTAAATGATTTCACCATCGTTTTCTATTACGACAACTGCCTTGATTTCCGTCTATTCATGCATTGAATTGAACCTGCCAGCCATAAACATTGAAGCCCTCAATGTCCACTATTTATAATACTTGAACTCAGATTTTCTGTTCATAACCTATCGTCCTTGGTTTAACTTTGTTATTTTAGGTGCTAATCTAATGTTTTTTTTTAATTATTTTATGTAATTGATTTACATTCAATAAATCATACGTAGTTGGTGATTAAAAATATATGTTTGATGAAATAGTAATTTTAATCTTTATTTTCATAGTATTTTGATTCTTAACATTTTATTTTGAGGTAAAATGTCTCATGTTTGGATGGAGATTATTAGTTGAGTAACGGTCAAAGTTTATTGCTAATGTGATAAGTTATATATATTCAAAGTGATGACATGATACATAATATATTCAAAGTAATGATATAAAACGTATCGCGTCGTTACTTTAGATATATAAGACTTATTACATCAGCTATAAATGTTTCGTTAGACAACTAACCTTAGTCCACTTTTGATACATAGGACTTCAGATAGAACTGATAATTAAGCGAATTGACACAGGAGCAGGATTGGGCAAACGAGGAAGGAAAAGAACAGTTTAGTCCTGTATCTGTTATAGATTTCCCCTTCGATGACATCTCTCATTTCGAAGATGGCTTGCCCCACGTCGAAGGTCCCCCTCCGATCTTCTCCCTCTTATTCTCTCTGTTTCTTTCTTCATACATTGAATAACAAGACATACATTTGGCGTTAAAACAGCAGGGACAAAACAAAAGGTCCCAAGGTTTCAGAGCTTGGCTCAGCTTCAGCCAGTGGACTTACAGAAACGAATCGCAATGGCAGAGCTTGAAGATGAATCAACATCACTTGAAAATGAGAAACTACTCATGTTATCGAAAACCAAAATCCCATCACGGATTTTCAAGTTTGTGGATGATAATCTGTTGTTAGATTGCTTTGCCGAAGAGCAGCTTCATATGGGGTTTGAAGATTTTGGGGTCTATTGTTTGAAGATGGTAGAAGATTGGATCAATGGTGATTGTGAGGATGTTTTTGTAGGATGGGAGACGCAGGAAGGAAGAAAAACATATCTGAAAGAAATTGAAAGAAAAGGAAATTGGAGAAATTTCAAGGAAGAAGAAGAAACGTGGGATCAGCGTTAGAGCTCGAGGTTTTCAGTTCACTGGTGGATGAATTATTAACTGAATTCTTTTAGCATGGTTTAAGGCACCATGATAACGACTCGAGGTGGTCTTCTTCATTTAAAAGCTGTGAGTTTGAATGACTAAAGCCACCTTGAAGAAGACGATTTGAGCTTGTGTATTATTGAGTTTTTCTTTTCTCTTTTCTCGAGAGAAAATATTTGTGAGGTTTTGTTGCACACCGGTTCTCTTTACCTGTGCTTTTAATGGAAAATCATTCATTTGCAAGCAACATGGAGAAAAATACAGTTTCTTTCTGATAATATATTATCTCCTCCCTCTTGAAATATTATCTTGTTAACGTTAAAACGTGTTGTTATATACAGCTGATTGATCAAGATTATTTATGTTTAGGTTTTATCATACTCAAATCGGATCTTAAATATAAATATTTTATGAGATTTGGCATCGACCCAATTATTTAGATTCTGCATATTTTGGTTTATGGATTGGGTCGAAGAATGGTCTTAGGTTGGTGAGCTAGGCTCAACAGGTTAGCACACCCTATAGGATGAAAAGGTGTCAATATTATTAGGATCCACGTTTTATCCGAATTTGACGAATTTTGATTTGATTTTAAATTATATCACTTTTTTATTTTGAAATTTATAATTTGAATTAAGTCCATATTGATATGTTTTTGAAGGGTAAGATCAAATTAAGTTCGAGTTTAGAGTTGAAAAAACCAAACATGACATAATATTATAATTATACCTTATTTATTAATGGTTAATTAAAATAACATTTATTTTATGTTATTTTTAATTAAATACTTATTCTATCAATAAAAATAAAATTATATATATTTAAATTAAGTTGGGTTGGGTTGGGTGCGTGTGCGGTTGCAAATTTTGATTAAACTTGACAAATTTAACTTGTACACGATTATTTGAACCTATTTATTATATCCTAGATCAAATATAGATGCGAACAAGATGAAATAAATTGATCCTAAACCCGAAAGAACTTGAATCAAATTGAAACTGCCCCGCATTTTAGTTGGACTGAAAGCAACCTGAAACAAAAAGCAACCCGAAACAAAAGCAACCCGACCAAAAGTAACCCGAACCTAAAAAACTTGAACCGAAAGCAACTTGAATTTAGTTTACTCATATATGATCCAAACCAAACTTCAACTCGATTTTAACCCAATAATTGAGTTTAACTGAATGAATAATTTATTTATTTATTATTATTATTTTTAGGATCGATAAATAATAAAATGATGTATGCTTTATTCTCATTTTATATTATACTACTAGTAAACCATTACTTTTATATATGATAAAATGACTTCTAGATCTGAATTTTGATTGTGACAAATATATATTCACATAATTTTTTTATTTTAAGATTTATTTATTCGATTGATTAAAACTAAAATTGTTAGCTCTGAATTTAGATATGACAATGAATATTCACATTAAATTAATGAATTATAAGTAATAAAGAGCAACATCGAAAGTTATGAAGACAAAAAACGACAATGATTTACTTGAAAATCTAAAGATTGACCTAAAAATATAAAAGTTGACCCAATTTGAAACGACCCAAATTGACCCGAAAATCACGAACAAAAATAAACCGATATAATATTAACCCGACCCGAAAACTAACCAATCTGATTTTGACCCGACTAGATATCTGACTCGAATTAAATTTATGTAGACCCAAACTAAATTTGAACTAGATCCGATCTGACCCAAACTGAATCTATAGCGAAGTAATCTAGATCCAAAATGACTAGACCCAAAATTATCAAACTCGTACATAATCCGAATGACCCGATTCCACCTCTAATTTTGACCATCAGGTGAAATGAAATTTTCTTTTAACTTAAATTGGGTCAAATACAGGTGAAGAAGTTTAATTTTCGTATCAAAATCGAGTGGCCGGCCCACAGTGATCTCTGGTCAATACTTACAAAGCATTATATTTAGTCTTGAGATCATTCTTTGATTTAAGCACTCTATTTGATACTTGAATCAAATTGGGAGTTTCTTTTATCATGGAAGACGTGGAACAACACTTACAAAGCATTAGGGTAGGGCCAACTCCAAACATGGGAAACACATAGCCAGGCCCAAAACCAAGGAGAGAACGATGCACAGAACAATCAAATAAAACAGTAAAAGCCAGAACCTGTGCAAAACCAGGTGAATCATCTACTCTAGAGAGCTCCATGGCATGAATAATTTTTGCTCTGCCTGCTCTCTTTATTTGGATGTAGCGCTCTTGGCGAAAGGTTTCCCTCCCAATTTATTTTCCAACTGGTTAAGCAGTGCTGACGAATCCTTCCCTTTCTTCAGGACCCAAAACTCGATTCAGTAGCTTTTCATTTGTAGCAACTCCTACAGCTAACATGTTACGAACCATGTTTCTTTTCGGATGGTCCTCCTTTGGAAGGCTACTAGCAATCGGACACTTAGGCCTATGGATCATAAGTAGGCTACGTGCAATCCTCATAGGCTTATTATTTGAGTTGAGGATGATGAAGCGACATGCGATGGTGTAATCAGAAATGAACAAGGACAATGAATCTACATGTTTATACGCAACATGCTTGATACTTATGGCAGAGGCGTGGGCTCTACATGATGTGCTTAAACATACGTAGATCTTAGGGATCATGAAGCTTATGGTGGAAAGTGGAAACGAATTGCATGGATGCCTATAGAACATTAACCGATGGATCTCGACTATTACAGGGAATGCAACAGTTGTAGCTGTTATGTTTGACTTGAAATTAAAATTGGCAAGATTGAAAATTTCATCTTGGTTGGTGGCCAACTTATTGAAAAATTCATCTTGGTTGGTGGCCAAACTCATTGGAAAATTCTTTGGTAGATGGCCAACTTATTTTTCATGTTTGGTCCTTAAAATATTAGGTTATTTATAAGTTTAGTTCTTAAAACTCAACTATAATTAGGCCTAAGTATTTCATTAGAAATCATCCCAAAAAACAAGTTATCTCTTCCTCTTGTTTTCTTCATTCTCTCACTTTGGGAATTCTAAAGAATTCCATTTGTTGTAATATTTGTTGATAATGAAGTTATCATCCGGTGTGGTGCCCGAGGAGTAAACGATATTCTCGTCGAACCTCGTAAATTTGGTGTGTTCTCTCCTTTATTCTTTTTTATTCGGTTTTTCCATTGTGTTTCAATATTCAATAGTTTGACGGGTTTATCCGTTGTGCAACTTTTAGTGGTTTTGATCTTGACATTTTAGGTTAATTTTGAAACTACGTTCGTGTGGGAAATAACCCGGTTTCCCCAACAATTGGCATCTGAGCTTCGGTTGAGGTTATCCTAGTGGTTCCGTTACGGAAAAGATACAGTTCATGATATTGAATATTATTCGTTGGAATTAAAATGCCAAAATACGGATCAGTTGAGACATTAAGCTCTTCATCCGGACCGGTGAGGAGGATGATGTCAAATGCAAATTTCTTGGTGGAGTTGTTCGATGGATCCAGTCATTTTGGCATGTGGCAAGGCGAGGTCTTAGACATTTTATTCCAACAAGGTCTAGACATTTCCATTGAGGAAGAAAAGCCCGAATATATGGAGGAGAAAGAATGGGGAACAATCAATCGTTTGGCATGCAGTACGATTCGATCTTATCTTTCCATGGAGCAGAAGTATGGCTACGAGAACGAGACTTCTGCATATAAGATGTGGAAAGCTTTGGAAGAAAAATTCCTAAAGAAAAGCTCTCAGAATCGTCTCCATATGAAGAAAAGATTGTTCAGATTTGATGATCAACCAGGCACCAGTATGAATGAACAAATCGTTGCATTCAATGAGCTAGTGAAAGACTTATTGGGCATGGATGAAACCTTCAAAGATGAACATTTGGCCTTGATATTGTTGTCATCTCTTCCAGATGAATTTGAGCACCTTGAGACAACGTTACTTCATGGTAAGGATAATGTTACCCTTAAAGATGTAACTGCCGCTTTGTATAGTTATGAGCTCAATAAGAAAACCAAGAAGAAGAGCAAGTACGAAGCAGCGGAGGCCATGGTGGCAAGAGGTCGCTCGAAAAGTCAAAAGCCAAAGTGGAGAGGGAGATCAAAGTCAAAGTCTAGACTGGGAAAAGATGAATGTGCCTTTTGTCATGAGAAAGGTCATTGGAAGAAAGATTGTCCGAAGCTAAAGAAGAAAGGAAAAGCTTCTCCAGATGCATGTGTTGAAGAGCATGATGCAAATGAAATGACAATGCCTGTAAAACTGTTGGGATTAGTTCAATTCGATTGAAGAATCAAGATGAATCAACCAGAGTTATGACTGATGTCCGATACGTGCCCAGTTTGAAGAAAAATCTCATCTCATTGGGAGCCTTGGAATCCAAAGGCTCAGTAGTCACTATGAGAGATGGAGTTTAAAAGTCACATATGGCGCACTTGTGATGATGAAGGGCATCATAAAAAATAATTTGTATTACTACCAAGGTAGTACAATTATTGGAGCAGTTGTAGCAGCTTCCGGAGGTGATGATTTGGATGCAACCCAGTTGTGACATATGCGGTTGGGACATGCTGGAGAGAAATCCTTGCAAATCCTGGCAAAGAAAGGATTGTTGAAAGGTGCAAAGGCTTGCAAATTGAAATTTTGCGAGAATTGTGTTCTGGGAAAGCAGAAGAGAGTGAAGTTTGGCACCACTATACATAATACCAAAAGGTATTGTGGATTATATTCACTCAGATGTATGGGGTCCTTCGAAGACATCGCCTTTGGAAGGAAACCATTATTTTGTAACTTTTGTAGATGACTTTTCCAGAAGAGTTTGGGTGTATCCGATGAAGTCTAAAGATGAAGTGCTTCGAATTTTCCTGAAATGGAAAAATATGATCGAGAACCAGACTGGTAGAAAGATCAAACATCTTAGGACGGACAATGGAGGGGAATATAAAAGTGACATATTCGTTGACGTTTGCCATGAGTATGGTATTGTTTGACACTTCACTGTTAGAAATACAGAACAATAGAATGGGGTGGCAGAGCGTATGAATCGAACACTATTGGAGAAATTTCGATGTATGTTGTCTAATGCTGGGTTAAGAAATGTATTTTGGGCTGAGGCTGTGACATATGCTGGCCATCTCATCAATCGTTTGCCATCGTCAGCGATAGGAGGTAAAACACCATTGGAGGTATGGTCTGGAAAACCTGCTACT